CGTTTGAAATGATAACGACATTCTATAGGAATGACTATAAATTCGAATTTTTTATATATTTCATCTATACTATCTTTCGGTATAACCGATGGTGATCGTATCATCGGTTCTGGTGTAGAGCTTTGGATGGGGGATATTGCCATCGAAGATTCTTTTTTTCTATTCTGATCGTCATCGTTCGTAGTCTGTACTTGTCTTATTCGATGTTCTGTTATTTCATTTTTATCTATATTTTCATTCTTATTTTCTGTTTCTTTTCCCAATGGTAGTAGTGCATGGAAAGAATACTGTTTTTGTTCTCTGCTTTTATCTGTATCTTTTCTACCATGGAAGAATGGTGAAGATTGTACAGATCCTCCTGTTAGTGGTACGTTGTTGTTTCTTGGAGGTAAAGTTCTTCTGGGAATAATTGGTGGTGGTTGGCGTGGTGATGGTGGTGTTGGTGGATCATCTCTTCGATGTCCGATTTTTCTCTTTTGTCCCGGTATTGGATCCGGTAGCCATTCATCGAAAATTTCTGAAAAATCACTCAAATCTAATGGAGCAGGCGCATCTGTTAAGCCATCATGTGATGGTCTTGCTATTGGTATAGTATTATCATCTATTATTATGGTATCCATGTATTTATTATTTATCATTCTTTGTTTCTTATTTCTTGCTGATTCTATATAGATTTTCCACTTCTCTGACTCTAACTTCAAGAATTCTGTTTGAAAATGTAGATTACTCAACTCGAAAATATTTTCTTTTTGTTTTTCTTTTTCAAATTCTGTTGGGATTACGATTTTTCGAAAAAACTCATCTTTGTATCTTAGAAAATGGGGATAATTACTAATTAGTTTTTTAATTGATAAATATTGATTTTCATTTTTTTCATTTGTTGAGCGTCGTTGATGATTTTTGTTATTTCGTAGATCATTGTATCTATGTTCTTGATAATGTTTTGCTTCTTCTGGTTTGTTAGAATCTTGAATTTGTCTTTGTTTTTGTTGTTGATGTTGGTGATGATATTGGTATTTTGAATCTTGTTGTTGATGTCTTCTTGTTTGTTGGTGTTGTTGAGTTTTTTTATGATGTTGTTGTAGATTTGTTTGATGATGTAGTAGTAGTTGTTGTTGTTGTTGTGATTGATTTTTTTCCCGAATATCTTTTTGAACATTATCTAAATGAAAATCTTGTGTATGTTTAATGAACCAATTATGCAATGATTTTTCAAGTAATATACGACCTGATCTGATTGATGGATGAAGACCATCATGATGCATATGGTTATGTTGAAGATTCGCATGAATGACCTCGAAGTTCATTTGTCGTGATAGTGTTTGTAAGAGTTGATTAAATTTTTGATTCTTATCATTAATTGTCGAGGAATCGAATAACTTAGATGGTTTCCATCGTGGTGATAGTGCAAGCCACCCGATGGCTTTTAAGTTTGGAAATAATTGTCGCACACGCTGAATTAAGTAACGACATCGTTTAATAGCAATTTCCGGTCCTAAATTCGCAACATCATTCGTACAAAGAGAAAGAACAATAAAGTCCATTTTAAATATACTACTTTGCTCAATTGATATTTGTTCTAAAAAGTTAAGCATCCGGTTGCAATCACAACCGGATTCAAATGATACTGTTACCTTTATGTTGTTTGTACTTACTTGTTCTGGACGAACATACTTACACATGGAATCAGAGAGAATGATTCCTTGATAAACCTTAGATGTTGTTAAATTATTATCATTATCATTTGGATAATTTATTTCAATTAATGGAGCTTGGTCTTTATATTGTTGAGCATGATGATAACTTCGACGATTTTTACGTGGTGGTTGTTGGAAACATTCAATAGACATAAGAGAAGGTATAAAAACATTATTAGTATTTTTGTTAAATTTAGAATTAATTAGATTATTATCTTCTATATCATTTTTAAAAGATTTAATGTTTTTATTAGTAGATATATTTGTATAACCAGAAAATGTAGTTGTGGAACCAGTTTGAAATTTGCGATAAGGATATACATGTTTTCTTGATTCATTATTGGGAAGATTGGATTTTGGATTAACATGGGAACGTAAATGAATATAAGATGTTGTCATTTTTGATGAAATTGGATGAGTGATAGATGTGTGAGTAGAGCGATGGTTAATATGTTGAGTATTAAATTTTAAGTTCATGTTGATTCTTTGAGCGAACAGAAGTATTGGTTATGGTTCGACAGTTATATTACATCAATTCATTTAATGTGGCAAATCAACATGTATTAAAAAACAATTTTTTCTTTCTATTTTGACGTATTATATATATATATATATAAATGATTTTTTAATTTAATTAAATTAATTTTTTTGTTTTTTTTTTTTTTTTTGTATTTTTAATAATTATTTTGTTTGAATTTGTACAGGTAAGTATTTACAATAGTAAAAAAAGAAATTACAAGGAAAACGTTGAGAATAAGTTAAATACAGAGAGAGAGAGAGAGAGTAAATAATGAGAGAAAGACGAGTTTAGAAAAACAGAGTATGAATAAACGCTAGGCCTTTCGAATTTTTTCTTTTTCAAGCGAAGATGAATCTATTTCCCTTTTTTCTTGTTTTTGAGTAATCTACATTTATCATTCATATTATTCCTTCTATTCGATCTTATGTTTCCGTATCTCTTTTTTCTCTTTTGGTTTCGAGAACAGTAGTTTTTTCTGCTCATTGATGAAGATTCATTTGTTCTTTCTCATTAATTATTGAGTAACAGACTGTTGTCATTTTTTCTATTTTTCCTAGATAAAAAACGAGAGTGTCTTCTTATATATTTTGATAGGTATTCAACTCGTAGTCTTACTATCTTACGTTTTTTTAATTTAGTTCTCTTTTTTCTATTTTTCGGAACCTTTTCTTTTTATATGCTCAGTCACCTTTTATTTCCTACTATATATATCCAAGTATTGATTTGTGATTGTATATTCATTTGTCTTTTTTGGTTTTCTTATATATGTATTTTTTCTTTCTATATATTTCTGTTCTTTTTTCTTTTTATGTACTTAAGCATTTTTCTTTTTTTGTATTAAGTATTGATTTCTGGTTGTACAATTAACTGTCCGTTTGACTATATATTTTTTCTATTATACATTTTTAATACTTATTTCTTACTTTTCATATATAAAGAGGTAATTACTCCTTGCTATGTTACATATTTAGGTATTTATCTTCTTGTTGTATGTGAAAGTGCTTTCTTTGCTATTTCTCGTTAATAGTTATGGAATATCAATTTTTTGTTTATGTGTTTATTTTTCGTGTTATATATTTAGGTATGTATTTTCTTTCTTAGATTTCTCTAATAATTTCTCCACTTAATTTTTTAGTGGATGTCCATTTTCTATCAAGTACATGTTTCAAAGCATATCAATATTTGTTATTATTTTTTTGATTGTCTTTTTTCCTATTTTTTTCTTATTCTATATCTACTTTTAAACTATACTTTTATTCTTAATCTTATGTAAGTCACAAACTTTTTCTATTTTCTAGAATTTGTTTTTTCACACTATATCTATTGAATAAGTAAATGTCTATTTCTTTTTTTAGTGCTCTTTGTTTTATATTTTAAACATCTTGTTTCTTGCTGTATACTTAAGTGTTTGTTTCTTACTTCTTATATTTAGTTGTTTGTTTTTTTATTTCTCGTATTTTGGTGCGCATTTATTTTCGATTGTATACCTATCTGAATATTTTTTATCTCTTATTATATACTTAGGTATCTAATTCTAATTTCATATCTGAATCCCTTTTTTTTGATTGTATATCTGGTTGTGCTTGTTCTAGTTAAATATTTAAATATGGATCCTTTCTATATATTTAGATATTTTTTCTTTTTTTAGGTATTTATTTCGTTTCTTGCTTTTCATATATAAGTATTTAGTTACTTCTGGTTATTTATTTAGATATTCGTTTCTTATTTTTCCTCTACACGTAGGTAGTTATTTCTGATTGTATATCTAAGTAATCATTACTGATTACACGTTTGGTTGATTGCTATTTTCTTCTTGTATATTAAAGTATCTGCTTGTTCTACTTCTTGTGAGTAATTAGAGGCTTGTCTTTGACTATATATATCCAAATGTCTATTTCTTATGTCCTTCTTAGGTTTCTTATCTATCCTTCATTTTTCATTTTATGTAAGTCATGGGTTTTTTTGTTTTGTCTGTTTATTCGAGTATCTCCTTTTTCTAACTATTCCTATCAATTATATGAGTGCCGGTTTTTTCATGTTCTTTCTCATTACGTCCTATTCTGTCTTTCTATAACAACAGGATTATTTCTTTTTTTTTTTTTTCTGTTCTTTTGACGTGATGGTAATGGTGAGTTTATTATTATTACTATTATTATTATTATTCTTTTTTTAGTCTTCATTCTTAGATGTTGTTACATTAACTTCTTTGGCTCTTTTCTTATTTTTGGGGAAGAAGTTTTATTGCTTCTTTATCCGGTCTCTTATGCACCAGCAGTTGTTTTAAATTCTCTGAGAGTCTGTTCGCATACATAGCAGGTACATCGTCAAGTGGTGTTCCCTCAAAGATCTCTTGCCATAATTGATGGAATCTTGAACCGAAATGCGCTAAGGATGGGGCATATGTGAAATGTACAATAATGTCTCTCCCGAAATCTATTTTACGTTTCTCTTTTTTGTTCCAATCTATCTGCAGTAGTTTCTCTCGATAGTTAGGGTGCTCGTTTCCTAAAAGTAATTCTGGTGTTGGTTTTCCTGTTACATCCTGAAAGAATCGTTCAATCTGCTTATCGATAAATTTCGGAGGATATTTATTAAGAAGAAGCATAATTCTAATCCTATCAAGTTCACATTTTAAGTCTTCTGAGTTTGAACATATTCGAGTAGCCCTTAGGGCTGCTGCATATGGTATGTTCCTAGTGATATGGCGTGGATGAGACGAGTTGAAAGGGAGTACGTATGGCTGTGCTGCGAGTTTTCGAAAAACCTTTGTTCGAAAGTTAGGTATTTCTATCATTGTTGTTACGTCTAAGTAGTCTACGGTTTTCCCGCCCTCCCATGTAATGCTGATGTTCGGATCTTTCTTATTTAGTTCCGATAAGGTTTGTTCTATTTGAGCTAATGTTAGGTTTGTTGTTAAAAACACATCGTCTCTGAAACGAAAGTATAGTTCGTTTTGTCGTGTTTGTTGTTGTACAAAACTGCTCTCCCATTTTCGTACGTAGATGTCAGCAAGTACCTGTGTACAGGCTGACCCCATTGCTCCTCCTCGAGTCTGCTGATAGAATTTCGGTTTCGTTCCTGGTAGCTGGAGAACAAAGTATGAATTTGTTAATATGTGTAGGAACATTGCTTTTATTGTATTGATGGATAGACCATGGACTTTTTTGTATCCGTATCTGCCAAGAAACTCACATACGGATAATACTGATTCTTTCTGTGGAATCATCGTGTACAAATCGGTGATGTCAAAAGTGTAAATATTCGTTGCTTTTGCTGTTTTATATTCTCTTATTTGCTTTAGGAAAGTTATCGAGTGTGATAATGCATACGGAGTATGCTTATCAAAAATCGGACGTATAAGTTTGTCAAGGAAACTAGACAATTTTGATAGGGGCGACTTTATTCCACTTACTATAGGTCTGAGGGGTTCCCCAATCTTATGATCTTTGGGATTGTAATACAAATGGGGTAATTCTGATTCTGTGAGAGATGGTCGTAATCTCTCTAGCAGATACTGTGGCATTTTCTTACTTGAAACTAGACCACGTAAGAATTCATCAGTTCTTTTTATCATTTCTTCTAATGGTGATGTAGCTATCTCTTTGTAGGCATTAGTCTTAGCTATATAGATGGTTGATTTCTGTATGTAGTTCTGTGGTGTGTCGACATGAAACACCTTCGACTTGTCAGCTTGCCTAAATATTACCTTATTTTGTTTTTGTACTTTTCGAAAGAAATTTATAGTTTTTTTGAGGTTTGGATTCATTGGTGCTTCTCTTTGTACTGTTTTTCTTATTTCTTCTTCTATTCTTTCACAAAACCTATTTACTATTGGTGGATCTCTGGTTATAGTTTTAGTCCTATTCCTCCATGCTGCTGATACTTTTTCTTTCATATTTTCTATTTCTCTTGGAAGACGTTTTAAAACTGTTTCGGGTGCCGAAGGTACATATTTCGGTCCTAAATTCAATATTGCGGCTTCTTCGCCTTCAAATAGGCAGACTTTGTTATTCGCTTGTGGTGGAAAACTTATTCGGGTGTAATGCGGGTGAAGTTTCGATGAAGGGTGTGCTGGATGGTGATGAGATAGGGCGTGCGCTAATTTTCGCTGGTTGCGCACGCCCTTTTTGCTAAAAAATTCAATTTTCTTTTTGAAAATTGATTATGTCTTGTTCTTATCACTTGACATATATTCTCATATGATTCTTGAAGATGTTGTGGTAACTCTTTCGCTGTTTCTTGATGTTCTTCATTAGCATATTCTATTTCTGCTATTTTAGCTTGTCTCATTAAAGCTGTGAGATCTAGTTTTGTTTTGCGAAGGACGTTTTTCCATTGAACACGTAAAGTATTCAATTGATTATCATTCGGCTGTAATTCTTTCGCATATAACTGTAGTTTATCGAAAATATTCAAAGATGGTGGCGGCATGTTTTCTACGAATCTCAATTCCAGTTTGTCTAATTGGAATTTTAAATCTAATATCCTCATGTACTTCTTTTGCAAATGTTCTATGAGGTTTTGTTCTGATTGTGTAGCTTGATTCTTTATTATTTGTTCTGCTTTCTCTCGTGTATGATCAAGTAGAAGATTATCTATTCTTTTTTGATCGTTTTGCTTTTTCTTTTCAAGTACTTTTTCAATAGTATTTTTCACGAATGATATTACCTGAGTCCATTCTTTTTCTGTAAAAAATGAATGTAGCGCATTTTCTCTTATGTTTTCTAATTCTTTATATTTGTTTTCAAGAAAATTTTGATATGCTTTTATATTCTCGAATGTACATCTTTGTTTCATTCGTTTGAAATGATAACGACATTCTATAGGAATGACTATAAATTCGAA